AATAAATCGCATTTATCCAATAATTCCACTGAACGGGAATTAATGCACATAAAACCATTATGTTTGTTGGATAAAGTTTTAATACACACAAAAACTACGTTAATGAACGAATATGGTATCTTTAATCATAGCATATGCCATACGGCAGCTATCAATCAGAATATATCGACTTGGCGGTGGTGGCCAAGCGGTTAAATTGTGACCCAGGGGTCCCCAGTTCGAACCGCTTCACAGCAGCTCGTCTTCTCCATTTCTGTGCTCTCCCAGACAGCCTTAGTATGGCCGCTTCCCCCTTCCTGAAAGTCGATTGTACATTGGTATGCTCAAGAAATCAAAAAAAGGGAGAAAAAAGATGTTCTTAATGCTTTTGGTTACCAAATACAAATAAATTGAAATTTGGTGCCCGAATACATCGCGGTTGACGTGAAATATTCTTTAAGCAGCGTATAAAGAACATGGTGCAGCGCCGTGAGAGCGCCGTGTGAGAACTAACAACTTGAATTAATTCAACATGTTGTTCTTAAGGGCATCAATGAGGTAACCAATGATTTTTTAGGACTAGGTCGAGCTGAAGCAGACGACAAGTGCGTGTGAATAAAAGTAGCGGAATACAAACACCAGTTACTCGGCAATAATATAGAGNATATAGAGCACGAAGATCCTGCTCGGTTCACGTACGTTCCACAGAATACAGCGGCTTATTGGGTCGTTGAACGACTATTGCTGGCCACCATGGCAAGGGATCCGGACGCCGTGGACGTGCCCACAGTAGTTCACCAACAGCCCAGGGCTTGCGGATGTCGGTTGAGTAACCTGTCTGTTTGCCATTGGATTTTCCTCGCTGTAGCTTATATAACTTGGAGCGCTCAGCACGCCGTTTAATGAAAGCCATGAGAGAATTTTGGACTTTTGTTGGGAGAACGTGGCCTTTTTTAATACGAGCACTATTCCTATTTCGGAAGGATAAAAACGGTTGCGACAACCCAGATATAAAATGCAGCATTTCAAACGTTAAAAATTAACAGACAGACAGTGGTAATATTCCAAATTGATGCTGAATTCCTTAGACTTGTCCATTTGGTTACTACCTCCGTAACACGACGCACGGTGAAGAGAACTTTGATAATCGCTGATACTATCTTATAAATTATATACAAATGTTTACGTGGTTAGGAATGGCGCTTGCTTTTTGAAGAAACTGGAAAAAAAGAACCACTATGATCAGCATACAATGTACAAACACATCTCGCCAAAGTCTTTAGTACCTCTAACCAACCAGATTGTCTTTCGAAATCCAGAGTGCATGGTCTATGCAGTTTTCATAGCTGATATCCACGTCATCTGTCAGACTCACTTTTCACCACAATGGAAACTACCGGACGTATACAAGCCAATGAAATGTATCTATCCAAATTCACGGTAGGTGTCAATATTCCATGTAGAGATTTCGAAACAGATCTGACAACTGCGGTTGCAATATCTCGCGTATGAAAAATCATTATATTTATATAATACCACCCACGTTCGGGTTCAGACTGTATGGGACACAAATCATGGTACAAAAATCTATATAGAGATAAATTTCCATGATTCCCTCGTGAGGTTGTCCAGACAAGGTTAATTTTCTTGAAAAATTCACGACCGGAGCGTTGAAGTCGCCCACATTAAGTGTTCGTAGATTACTGTTTCGTACTATAAAGGCGTTAAGCATATTGAGCATGCATTTTTTATTCAAACATTAAAATGCACCAGACCACAGCTTTTCTCCAACTGTGCAGTCAATTTCAACATTTCGGGGATCGCTGGAAGCATTAACCCAAATATCGGCCAAGTGAACTGAGTGGAAATGGAAAAAAGCTGACGCCTTGGTGACGATTTTCTTATTACACTCCTTGGTGTGATGAATAGCAAACGGGGAAAGCCCTATAGTCACGAGGACTCTGTTCAATGATGTAAACCAGTAAACCACACCCCAGGATCTAGAACGGCGAACCATATAAGGCTATGCTAGGTTAAGCGTGGTATTGAACCGGATGATAGCAAAGCTGCCTACCATCGAAGCGGTACGGCGGTGGTGGGATTCGAACCTCTGGCCATAGGATCTAAAGCACACCGGTGACAGCGACTAAACCACTGTGATACCACCACCCTAAAAAGCATACGTTTCTTGGAACTGCAAGATGCAAGCGGTCAAGCTAACCTTAATAAGGAATTATAGTTACCTGATAAGATTTGTATTTATCACCGTAGATAAATCGCCTAAACGCACAGGTAATGCACCGGAGGATCGTTTCGAGCAGTGAAAACGTGGATTGGAGGAGTTCGTCATATTTCTCGGTTGAGGATTTCGAGGTCCGCTTACTGTATGACTGGTTACAATAGGTGATATGGTTGTCAAATACAGCGACCGTTAAGCAAAACCCTGCATGTTACAGAATTATGGATGTGTCCCTTCAGATATAGTGGCACGTTCTTACAACCATTTGCAAACCATTTTCTCGCACAAGTGGTAACGTTTTCAACAAATTCTGCCAAAAGGCCAAGAGATAAATACTAGGTATGAAAACTGGATAATGATACAGATACATACTTTCGAATGCGGTTACGAACCCTGTTCCCTAAGTTAACGAGGTCGGAAAGATACCTCAACAGCTTATTCAGATACTTCAAAGGTATTAAAATCCATCAAATAAAAAAAATACTTCAAGGGATACAGTTTTAATAAACATAGCTCTGTAACCGTCTTGCGACGGCTGTAGCTGGGTCATTCTAGCACATATGTGAAAAAGTAAGAACTCATCAGAAAGCGAGAAAAAATATCATACAGAAATTATTTTCTTTACTGACCTATCAACTCCTTTGCAATTGAGGATTGTGGTACGCTCGCAGTGGACTGGTTTTCGATTTTCAATCTCCTCCTCAGAACTCGAATACGATTGAACAGTGAGGAACGGCTGTGGCTTCTTGATGGGTTCCTCATTACTGGAGTCCCAGTGCATAGAGTGCGACATGAGCAACGGTTTCTTATCTTCAACAGCTGATGTGAGAAAACTGTCTTGTTTCCAATATCCGTTAACATTAGTGACAACAGATGATTCACAGTTAGAGGTGGCTAATTTATCATCGGAACCAGTCCCGGTATATGATGAACCTCGATTTGAGTAAGGGAAAGACTTGAGTGGAGCATGGACAACACAGATTTTATTTGATTTTCCAGACATACCGGATGAACCGCCCGGTGTATGACTTTCTCCGGGCAAAAATACTTTGGGGTTGTGCAACTTCAATAACTGAAAGGGAATGTACAATTTACAGAGTAAGTAAAATAAACTGCATCAGGAGCGAATGATTTCTGTAGCTCAAACAAGGATGATTACTGGTCATAACAACACTGGTACACACGCACACTAGAAACTGGAGTCTAGACCATGTGCCATAAATCACTTTATGTCAGAACCAACCAAAGGCTAAGTAGCGAGAACCAACTGATGGACCGCTTATCCAGAAGGACACGGATCATATACTGGAGATACTAGAGATGTCAGAATGGTTAATAACGCATCACGATGCAACTAAATGTATGCGCAAAAAAATGGCCGCGGGCGTTTCCCGAGAGAAATTAGGGAAATATAAAAATCCACGTGATTTAGATTTCACCGTTGTCCATGTACACTACAATTCTAAACAGGCAGTTGCTAGATTTCCTATATTGCAGTCTAGCACCAGTTTCGTTTTAATCCGCACAACCATCAATGATGCAGCTTGCGCCAGTTCCGGTTACTGTTTTTGGCTGCCCATTTGGATCAAGCAGTAGGAGAAAGATGCGAAAGCTGAAAGCAGACAAGAAGAGAGAACGGACAACTTCAGTGGACTAAAGCTGCAAAGAAATTGAGAAGATGCACGAACGCCACTGTTTACGACACTCAAACATATTACTCAGTGTCTCTAACCACGGGTTACGATCATCCCGAGGTCCACAGCCAGGGAGCCTAATGGGACCTATACGACCGAGTTTCCTGGTTAGGGTTTTTATACCCCGTGCCAGGTGTTATTTTCACCATCCTTGGGTTTGCTCCACCCACTAACCACGGCGAACAACGCGCGCCGTGGTAACGTACCTGGTGACATGCGTAACCCATGTCCCAAAAAAACGTATTCTATGAAGATGGACCACTTGCTCTAGTGAACGACCGCAAATACCTGAAGCTCTGCACCTGACCTCAGAATTTCTCGTCCGGTTTCCCCACCAGATTCGTGCAATGCTGCATAGACAGCGGTGTTCAAACACTGACATTCTATTTTTATCTTGTTTTCTTAACGGCCAAGGTTTTGCGCCGTATAGCAGAAATGGCGGAACTACCGCAGCATATACTCCATCCTTCACAGACAGCCGGATATTGCGGCGGCGTCAGAGATGCCTCAAAATGGTAAAGACCAAACGAACTTTCTGTATTCGAGATGACACTTCAACAGTGATGCGTCCCCAGGCGAGATATAGCTGCTCAAATAACAAAACTTGCCCAATTGATTCATTACTTCCCCAGTAAGAGTGAGGCTGAGCGCTGGGCCAATCCAGTCTTATAGCAACATTTCGCATTTTGCAAAACGCATACCGAACATCGCTACGTTGGCAATCAAGCGATCCAGAAAAGGCAGTTTGGCGAACAAGCTTATTTTCGGTGACCCATCAACTGGTTATTAGGTAACATCTTATATACCATTGTTTTGTAAACAAAAGAGAAAAAAATTTAATTAATGGGGATTTTTGTTGTTGTTCTTTGTCTCAGTTTCATAAAGCCGGATATGGCTGATTCTACCTTCTTACCACCTTACTTGTGTGATTTCGAAGGGGAGGATGAGGCTGGGAGGTGGAAGGCCATGGGAGGTTGAGTGACTTCACAAATTGTTTTTGGGGGCCTAAGGAGGGATTAGGAAGACGAATTCCAATCGCCTCTGTGGTTTTTTATCGGCTTTGATTTGCGATCCCGAACCCGGTAGAGTTCGAAATGCTTCAGTCACATTCACTGTGATCGGACTCGAAGAGGTTCAAACTATGGCACTTGTAATAGTTTTAACCACACCAGTGTTCAGCCAGGCCGGACGATGTTTCCATCATCATTATCACCGTGAAGCGAAATACAGTGAGGCGAACATCGTTGATCGCTGCCAAACTCGCAATGTATATGCATTGGCGTTTGATGGACGGGTACTGCTAGGGCGCCCAGCCACTGAGCAGAATAACGATTAGATTTCTCAACCAAAGCCGTCAGTTCTGACAAGAACCTAGCCGCAAGGCAGCGGCTGAAGCGAAGTGGAGGCCCATTTACTTAGATCAATTACTCCTCCACCATTCATTATCGACTAAAACGCAAATTCTAGTCGAACCCTCAACCTGGAGGACCAGGAGACAGGACTTCGTCTGACTTCTACCCTTCGGCCTTCCAGGCATGATTAAATCTGCGGCTTGACAAAAGCCAACCTGTGTAGCTCGTTGGGTCGGAGAAATGCACAAGCCATCACACCACGTTAAGGTGCAGTCTCGTCGTGGTGGTCCGAACTCGTGTAGATAGGTGTTTGCTCGTGCGGCTGATATTCGTTGTTCCACGGGAACACGTAAACAGGTACACACAAAATGAGGCAGCAGAAGCAGGAATCCTGCATGAGTTGTTAACACAATATCCGTCTGGATGTGAATACGACACGTAATTTTGCAGCGGTTCTTAGTTTGCGGCTAACCAACTCCGCGGTTGTATCCCCTTTGAATGAAGGAGAGATGTATATTGGCTTCTCTGCGTTTAAAAGTCTTTCTCTTGAACAGTTATTTCTTAGAACGTTATCCACAAAACGTTCTGGACAACCATTTTGTAGGAAAATACCACGAATGAATGACGGTTCCGCATTTATGGTGTCATCAGTGCAGATTTTTACCGCCCTGATTACCAAACACTGAATAAGAATTTTGTTCGCTTGAGTGGCACAGAGCTTCTGAAATGCAGGTACTGGCGGCTCCAATTAGGGTTCCTATAAATCGATCTCTGCATAGAACCATCAGATTTACAAGCCACAAATGATGGGATTGCATACAAGACTGCGATCGTACTGAAGCACTCACGTCGAATCCGATCTTGCGTTAGTTTTCGCTAAGCTGTCCAGGTGCCTTGGCGGGCGTTCGAAACGCACGACACAACGGTTAGGCTGTGATAAGTTGTTTGAACCAGCAAGTCTGTCTTTCAGAACGCGCTAGGTGAAAAGCTAGAATCAAACCAGCAGTGGTCGCTTATCAAGAATGCTCTGCATTCCGCTGGCTTAGTTAGTTGTGGTCTGACACGTTGTGCTGCTACACTCTCAATTTCTGCGAAGTCTCTACGCCTTCCCGATGCCTGATCAATCCCGACTGGCAGCGAGCACAATGAAATACGACACGCAACGAGTCGTAACCTCAACGCAGGCCTACGCTGGGACCGAGAGATCTGGTGGACTCAACGCGCATCAGAAATGGAACGTGCTGCGGCCTTAAGAAACTCCCGTAAGCTGTTCCATCTCATCCGCGTCACCGGTAAGAAAGCCTTGGGTGTGAGCGAAACGATCAGCGAAGCTGACGGTTCGCCTATTCATAATCAACAGCCAGTCTCGCACGCTGGGTGGAACACTTTGTGGCATAGTTTACCTGTCCACTAGCGTCGGCTTCTCACACAGCTATTCCGGCACTCGTCCCATGGTCTGTCTGAACAGACCCATCTTCTGAGATGAAAATCAGTAAGGAGATTCAAGACTTGGGAATGCACAAAGCGCCGGGTTCCGATGGCCTTCCTCATGCTCCATTTTAAGATGGTGCAATAAAACTTGTTAGAGAACTACAAGTTCTGTTCTCTAAAGTTTGGAGCACTGAGCAGGCCACCTGCGTACAGTGGGGGCAATCGATTGTTGTCCCTATCTTCAAAAAGGGCCCGCGGAATGACTGCACCAATCATAGGGGTAAAAGACTGATCCTGATAGCGTCAAAGCTGTTGGCGTCCGTCACGTTCTTCCGATTGTACACTATGCGTGAAGAGCAGACCCGCCAGGAGAAGACTGGGTTTCGCGTCGGTTTTAGATGCATCGATCAAATCTTCACTCTCGGACAGCTGCCAGAACGTCATACCTACCTCTGACCAACAGATACGAATGACTTTTAGAACGAAAACATCATCATCACTGATGGTTACCAGTTCAGTTCAGTTTTTACAACTATTAACCATGCACTGTCGTGCACCAGTTTTGGTTGCTGCTTTTTGGTTGAGCAATTGGATAGAATAGCAGAATGATGATTAGAATGTTGAGAGCAGATTTAACCGGAAGGTAGCACATTTGCATAAACTGAAGTTACAAGAATAATAAGTAGATGCATGTGCGCCACTGTTGGCGACACCCAGCCATATCACTTAGTATCTCTAACCACCGTTGACCATGACCCAGCCAAGGAGCCTAACGGGACCTATGTGAGCTAGTCGCCTGGTCAAGGTTTTCATACCCTCATACCAGGTCTTAGCTTGACCGCCCTTCATTTTCTTACAACCGCCACCTGCCTCGACAAGCATCGCTCTCCGTGGCAACCTATCTGATGACATGCGTAACACATGCCCCAAACAGCGTAATCTGCGGAGGTCGACTAACTGTGCCAGTGGACGACCGCGATTACCTAAAACTCTACGCCTATCCTAAGCATAGCTCCTCCGGTTTCCCCACCAGACTCGCGCAATGCTACGTAGACAGCGGTGTTTGGACACCGACAGTCTATTTTTATCCTGTTCCCCTAATGGCCAAGTCTCTGCGCCGTAAAGCAGAACTGTCCGAACTGATGCAGCACACACTCGACCTTTCACAAACAGCCGGATTTCGCGACGGCGCCACAAATGTCTCAAGTTTGCAAACGCCAACCGAGCTTTCTGCATGCGCGCCGACATTTCCTCTGTGAAAAAAACTTACCTACTTTCGCAGGATGAGGCTGGACACTGAGCCAACCCAATCTTGGAGCACCATTTTACACTTTGAAGGTGCAAAGCGCATACCGAACATGGACACACTAGCACTCAAACTATCCAGAAAAGCTTGCAACTCACCTGAATCTTCACTTAGTAGCACAAAGTCATCGAGGGCAACCATGTCGAATCCCACTTTCTGTGGTGAACTCTGGTGAAAAAGTGCCGTAAGCTCGAACTCGGCTTCGGCTATTATTATAAAGGGATTGTAATACTGAAATTCTCTGGAACAACCTTCGGGGAAAGGCAGCGCCAGAGTTTAGAATGGTCGACTGGGTCGAAAGCCGCTTTAAGGTCGAGGAAGATAGAAGTGGTGGGTCTACGAAAAGAGTGTCTGTGTTCTAGAATTTGACGGAGTAAAGATGTGGTCGATACAACCTAGACCACGTCTAAAACCAGCCTGGTTCTCACGTGTGCACTCTTCATGAGCGGTAGACAATCGACGGAGTATGATACCGGCAAGAAGTTTAGAGGTAATGTTAATTAAACAAATTCCTCTGTGGTTTTCACAAAAGGACATGTCACCCTTTCTTGTAAATCGGTATGATCACCGATTCACACCATTCAGTTAGAACCTGTCCCTTTTCCCACACTGAATCCAGGAGTTTTGTTAACTCCCAAACCAAGACTAGACCTCCATCCTTAAAAACGGATAGGGACAGCCCGTCGGGGCCGGAAGCCTTATACCTTTTGAGATACTTTATTTCTCGGGTAACCTCTATTTCAGATGGAGAACCGATGTCAACTGGCAATATTTGCACAGTTGAATCGGGTATGGGGAGGTCTTGTGCTGACGAGGGCCAGCTGAACTGAGCCTTAAAATGTTCTGCCCAACGTTCAGGACGACGTTCCTGAATTTGAATCAGTGTGCCGTCAGACTCCTTAATTACCTCACTTATGCCTGCTTTCCTGGGACCTGTACTCCTAATTAATCAGAAAAGACTGCGACTATTACCGATAGCCGCAGCCTTCTCCATCTCTCTACACTTCCCTAACCACCACTTCTCGCGGTCATTCCTCAGACTCTCGATGAGCTGGCGTTTACAGGATTTGCGCGTTTTGTCGTATTTTGAATCCGAAGGAATGCCTCTGTGAGTGTCCATCAGAGCAACCGAGGTCGGGGAGATCTATCGTTTTTGCCTTGATCGTGCGCCAGAGTTCGCCGTTATTTTGATTGAAATTTGGATTGCTTCCTTGATTGCCGACCAGTGTTCACTGAGTCCTCCGGCTGATGACGGGGCTGAGAGGCGATCTGATAGTTCCGCTTCGAAGGCCGATTTGCAACTGTCGGTGATAGTGTATTGTGAGCATCCGTTTTCGGCGGCTTTTCTGCGGTTGTTTATCAGGCGTGGGGAGAATCTCGCTCGTAGCAGAGCATGGTCCGTGTCCACGGGTGTTGACCAGTAGGAGGGGCAGTCTTCAATGGATCCC